GGGGGGGGGGGGGGGGGGTAAACCAAATTTTTCTTTGCTCATTTATCCTCCCCTCCTCCCATTGTTTTATGATTTCCTTTCTAAGTAAAAAAGTAGCCGTTCTTACAAATTTCGCAAATGGACAAAAGATCAGTTGTCCGTTTGTTCAAAATAATTTCAATAGTAAAACAGGAAATCCAAAGCTAATCTATACTTCAAGCTTCAATGCAAAATTTGATAGAGTTGAAGTTAACATCTCTTCCAACTCTAATTCAGTAGGGAAGCGGTAAACCGGTTTAAGTCGATTTTGACTATTGGCCAGTTTGCAACGAATATCTCAACATCTAGGGGACATAGCAACATTTTTGTTATGACCTTTTTTGTAGCCTTCAATTCGCTCTACAAAAAAGGTCATATCGAAAACTTTACTATCTCCCTTAGATTCGGAGATATTTATCGAAAACTCAACTAAGGGCTAAGTCGACTTAAGGGGAGACCGCGGTGAGATTTGAAAGTCTCGGCTCGGCCTCAAGAGCCGTTGGATGACTTTTGATATATGAAGGGATATATAAAAAAGTGAGAAAAATTTCGGACCCGAACCGTTTTGCCCCGCATATCCACCAAAAACGTCATTTTTCACGTTTTTAGCTTAAAAATGCTCCTTGGACCACAGTTTTCATCCGATTTCAACTTTTTTTTTTTTGAAATGTTCGCTATACTCCAACGAACAAACCCAAGTATCCGTTTTACTTTATATTTATTAGGTCATGAGAAAATGATTTTTTTAGTTTACCTACCGAATTTCTCTCTATAAAAAGATACCGACACGATTCTGTTGGAAAATGTGTGTTGAAAATTTTCTTGATTAAAAGTTAAATAGGACTTTTTCGGAGTGTCCATTTTACAGGTTGTCCATTTACAGATTTATCAGGTGTCCATATTGCCCAATGAAACAATTTTAAAAAATTGAATTTTGAAAAAAAAATTTTTCTTCGTAAATTTTTTTAGTGCCTATTTAACCCCAGATCCCAGGTCCATATTGCCCCACCCTCCCCTATGACAGCTCTAATAAATGTAATCGCCGAGTGGAATAGACACAAGTGACTATATTTTTCTCGTCAACAGCAGAAAAATTTAATTTATCTAATCAATATTTAGGATTTGATACATACAGATATGAAATTTTAAGGATATTAAAGCAAGATAAATCGCTGTGATGATCTTTATTCTAATAATAGTCTCCAAAAAGCATCAATATTCTTTCCAATAATCTTGGTCAACCCATACCTTAAACACATCCAATCTCACTCATTTTACACAATATTACAAATCTTCAATTTTTCCTTCTTTTCAGCCCCATTTTTTCCCTAAGAATGCATCTCAAATTAGCCCCTCCATTTGTGCTCCATTATAATTTCAAATTTTGATCTCAACTTTTGAGAATTTCTAACATATCGCTCTGATCACGGCCAATACGCCCATATTTAGAAAATAACTGGTACCTACATTCTCTCACTTAATATAAATTCAGTGACTTTTGAATAGTGAAAATGATAAACAAGTAATAATCACAATCAGTTCCAACACGTATTAGATAACAACGTGTCGAAAAATTATTAAACATGAATAGTCGAACATGAAGATATTTTATTTGCTTTTCTCTCCTAATCCAACGTGTACAAAATTGTAAAAAAATGAAAATAAAAAAAGAAAACCAATCACAAATTATCCGCAGAAAATTGATCGGTAATTTCATTGAAATCTAAGAATTTTCTTAGACAATGGAACAATAGAACCGAAGAAAGATGGAAAACAGAAAGCAAACGTAAAAAGTTTGGGATTTGTCTCCATATTTGCGGAAGTCTGCACTAGTATTTTTTCACAACATTCTTCTCAAATTGATGCATAAACGAGTGTTTATCTCTTGACTTGATAATTTTCGTTCTCTTAAAACTTTTTCACGTATTTCTTTCAGCTAGGAATTTCATATAATCAATTATGCGCATAGGATTAATGGATTTTCTTATCGGGGTTTTCTTTGTTGTTTGTTTATTCCTTGTTGGCTCATCGAATGTACTGAAACTTTGTCCACCTTTTTTTCTTTGTGATCTAAGTGCAGAGAGAATAAGGGGGTTAGTATTCCTCATCGTCGGGAGCCAACCCGTCACCTTCCAATTCCTCTGGTGGAGCAAAGCCATCCTGCGAAAAGTCAATCAAATTAAAAATTAGAATAGAATTTAATTAAATTGAAAAGTTCAACGAGACTAATTTATTTTAAATTTCACCCAGTATAACAAATTTTCTAGAATTTATATTTCTTTCTATCAGATGTACGATAATTGAGTCTTGAAAGTGGGACAAATAAAAATACGGAGAAAATTAAATGGGAAAATAGATGAAGAAATTATGTGGAAGGAAAGAAATAATATCAATTCGAAAAGAATAAACAAAACAAAAACTTCATATACTACGAGACAAAACAAAATATGAAAATCAAGATGAACAATACGTAAAGAGTCTTGTTATTTTTTAGAGATAATGCATGACCATTCGTTCAAATGAAATTTTCTCTGTGGATAGCACGTAAAACATCAAAGAACTACAAAACAAATTTCCCAATTAATCCCAAAATTTCCATTTTCAACCATTATCTAGTCCGATTAGTACCTTACCCGTAGGCATATCCACAACTATATTTCTGAGATTATACAACACCCATAAAACTTCACACAGCCACCAAGGAACGAGGAACTATCATTCTCATTGTTACCTTGAAATTGAGCTTGATTAATGATAGATTAATAAAGTTGCTTAATAAGTTTGTTCCTCGTCCTTCTGGCCGTTTCCATTTTCCTGAAATCATGATAGCGTGTTTCTTTTTCTCTCTAGTGAATGTGTAGAGTATTTTATGATGCTTGATATGATAATAAAAAGCTTAGTAACTGAAATTAGGAATGTTAAATTTTAGAGACGATTTTCCAACCTGTGTTGCGTAGAGTACATCCAAGATTTTTTGTACAATTGGCGGCTGATCTTCCTCAGTCTCCTGGCACATCAATTCGATATCTCGAAGTTTACCGAAGTAGAAGTCTCTCTCTTTCTCAAGACCATCAATCATGAGTTTCAGTTCAGCAATCTGTGCGAGTATTGTGAAAATTAAAATTGACCCTTTGATTTTTATAAATAAAAGCAAATTCTATATTTTTTGCATCATTTGTAATGATGATTACCTGATTGTTGAGTTCCTCAACTTTTCCAGTATCACGATTTCCCAGTGGGCCTGTTTTTGTCACAGGACGAGTCTGCTGGAGTTTGTTAGGAACTGAAAGTTGAATCCTTCATGAAAAACAATGTGATTTTCCATGAGAGGTATTATCAACTATATGCATTGTACAATTTTTTTCGAGAAACCTGATTCACATTTGAAGATCAAATAATAAACCATTTTTTGGAATGAATGATGTCATGGGTTCATAGAGAAAAAAAAAATTTAATCTCCAGAACCAAATTAGTGATTTTAAGAAACTCTAGTAGCTGAATAAACTGAAAATTTTTACTGGAAAAAATGGAATAAGGAATTGGTTACTTAATTTCGAAAGAAAAATCCCAATCCAATACCAAAAGTTTAATTATTTCATGTAAGAAAAGTTCTTCAATCAAGAACGATTGGATTCTCAAAGTGAGAATCTTTGCGGTCTTCAACAAAGCAAATTCGGGAAGAATAACATTCGAAAATAATTAACCTTTAATTCAACATAAATTGAGTAAAGATACCAGATAATATACTTTGAATCACGAGAAACGTATAAACATGATGAAATCAGTTTTGAAACAGGAAAAATCATCAATTCAAGAACGAAAATATTCACAATATGAGACCCCGTATGTTTTTCATTGAAAAATCCAATCTCATTTGAAGAACCATCTCATTTCAAGAATTTTTATTTTATTTTATTGGCCATTAGTATGGCACTTTTGCAAAATGAGTGATAAAAAAAAAATTCAGTTTATTAATGTGTCATGGCCTTTAATTTGCACCATACTACAATATTATTGTTTCTACCAATTCGGAGCACAAAAAATCAGAATTTTCAAAAAAGCTCACATATCCATAAAAAATCCTGGTAAGGGGGCTATTTTGAAGATTTTATGCTTGTACAGGCACATGCCGTCAATAAAAAAATAAAAATTCATTTTTTTCCCATTTTTTAAGTATAAAAATTGAATACTAAAATTATCAGCATAGTAGGAATCCCTTCCATTTTTCAAATTTCACCCCTGTGTCCCCTTAATTTCCGACAAAATTTTCTAATGAATAAAAAATCTACTTGTTTCCACATTTTCTGTTCGCTAGATTTCAGCACAATAGTTTCAAGATTGGCAAATTTTTGACTGGAAGTTATAATTTTTTTTTTCCTTGTCAATATTCCATTATAAGTATCAGAATGGCAAAGTATTCGGACATCGTCAACCAAATTGGAAGTTAAATTATAAAAAATAATACATATAGTTGATAATCCTCTCAATCCCTACAATAAAGTTCCATAAAACTTGCATACAAATTTACAAAATCCAAAATCATACAGGACCACCCTCGAGGGAATGAAATCCCCTTAGACGAGTGAATAATAACGTGATGAAGAAAAAAATGGGTGCATTAATATGTGAACTGAATGAAAGTATCCTGCTCACGGGAAGATGAATAACCGCGTATCCTACCAATGATCAGCTGTTTTACATGTTGACATAAATTGTAGAATTAAAAAACCTGAGATAGGAATTGTTCAAGGGTATCGTATACTTAGTAACTCTGGCCATGTGAAAAGTGAATAATTTAGTACCGGTACGTGCTAATGGTTTGGTCGCTGGCGGATCGCGTGGTGATGTACGTTTCGCCAACCCGCTACCTCTTGGTGCATTATTACCGCCGCTACCCATGGGTTCACCGCCGCGCATCGCTAGAGCATCATAGCCCTCGTTACCGGAGTAGTTAGCATCAAAGAATTTCTTGAACCATTGTAAGAACTCAAAGTTGTCTTGAAAACGGCCTTTTGTGAGCCTATCAATTGGGACGATCTGCAAATTACGGCAAAAAAAAACAAAATGTGCAAACAAAATACAAACAAAGCATGAAAACAAGTTGAAAAAATGTATGAGAAAATTCAAAAGAAAATTGTAACTTTTTTTTATCTAATTCTAATTGTTTTGTAGCGATGTCTACGAGAAATTTTGCAATTGTTCCACGAATTTTTCAACTGAAAAAATCTAGTTGAACAATGTTAAAATTCCTCAGCATAAATTTTACGGATTTTTCTTTCAATTTTTTTTATGAAAGAAAATTTTTTTTTTCAAAATTCAAATTTTTAAAAATTGTTTCATTGGGCAATCTGGACACCTGATAAATCCATATAAGATGGACTGACATGGACACTCAAAAAATTTTCAATGATCGAATTTTTAGAAATTGCTTCTTGCCAAAGTTCACAGCCGAAAAATGATCTTATTCAAAAAGTCAAAAAAAATTTCGACAGGTATTTTCCAACAGAATTGTGTGGGTATTTTTTTATAGAGAGAAATTAGAGTTGGAAGAGATATTAACAAATAAACATCAAATCTATTAAATTTTACATTAAACTTTAAAATATAGAGTAGCTTTAGACTTCCTGTTTTACTATTGAAATAACTTTGAAATTATTTTTTTTTTTCAATGAACAATGACACGCCCTATACAACTGACCTCTTGTCCTTATGCGAAATTCGTAAGATGGCTAATTTTTACTTAGAAAGGAAATGAGTTTTTTTTTCAATTTGAAAATCGGAGTCATGACTAATTCCAGAAATTGAATAATATTGATAAATAAGAAATTGAGGAAGAAATCAAAGTGTCCATTTTACCCCGTTTTTGCTTTACCTTACAACTCCTACGACGCAGTCTTACGACAATTTGTTCGTTTTTATAAACTTTAAATGAAGTCGGAACAGTAGATTTGATCCAATTTAACTCATTATTTAAATCCGGTATCCATATTGCCCCACCCTCCCCTAGAGTATTTTTTTCTCAATGTTTTCCATTGCTACAAACCATGTGGAAAATCTATGGTATCTCCAATATAAATCTAAGAAGACTATTTGGAGTCTCCCACGACTGAATTAGGATTTTCCCTTGAATTTTCTACACGTAAATGATCAAATTAATAAACAACAGAATTAAAGAGGTGGAAAATATGTATAAATGTGGTCCTCGCGTGGTCTTGTGATGGTGGCTGGCAATAGATAAATTTTGTATGTGACTGCTAGTGAAAAGAATGAATGAATAAAATGAGATAACAGAAGCCATTCATGCAACAAACAAGTAAATGTCATTTGTAATCCACATGTTGATGTACCCTGCTGCCTCTGCGCAATGTTCCGCTGTTGATTGTGATGCATCTGAGCTCTCGGCTGCATCTGAGGTGGTTTTGCTTGAGTTGTCAACGGTACCAATTGTGGATTGGACAAATTATGACAACCATCAACTCCAGAACCTAATGGAATTCTTCCACGTGCTTCAAATGCATCGTACTCAGTGCCATCATAATTGGCATCAAAAAATTTCTTGAACCATTGTAAAAATTCAAAGTTGTCCTGGAAACGGCCCTTTATCAATCTGTCCACTGGAATCACCTGAACCATTTTTTTTTGTTTTTCGTTCAATACGAAAATATGAAAAACATGGATACACAAAAATTCCACGAGCAACTCCTAATGAATAGAATCGCGCACAAAAAAATTTCACAGAAAACCCTAGCAAATTCGCTAGACAATTCTATTGGATTTCCATTCAATTGTCTGGTAGTTTTTGGCCGATTCTATTGAAATGTTCCATAGAAAATATTATTACATAATAATAATCATATAAATTTTTTAGTCTCCAATTCTCAATTTTTGTCATTTATTCTATTCATGCTACCAAAAGACAAGGATAGAAATCGAATTGATGGATATTCTTCCATTATTCGGAAAAATATACCGATTTTAAAACTTTCCGGAAACATGGAAAAATTATTTTTTCATTTCTTCTCGTTAAAATTAGATCAAAAAATTCTAAACTATCCATATCCCACCCATATTCGAAGAAAAAACAGTAATTCCAAGTTTCCACCGACACAAATGAAGGAAAACAAATTTTCTCCATTTTCTAGCCAATCATCGTCTTTTAAAAATTTTCAGTCTTCAAAAAAAAAATCGAGTTTCAAACTTTTCGGAGACATTGAAAAATTACTTTTTTTAGTTCACTCATCCACTTTTTGCATTTTTTGAATTGCTTCTCGCTGAGATATTGATATCCCTCTAGTACTCGACAAAAAAAAGTGATTCGAAGCGTTTGCCGACATAAAAGAAGGAAAAAAATTGATTTTCTAGCCGATAACCCTTTTTTGATCCTTTTTTCATTTCCTTTTCATAATAATAATTGCAATCCGACCACAGGAATGAGGAATACCGACATCCTTTTACCATATGACAGGAAAAATAGATTTTAAATGTTGTAACATGTGAATTAAGGAAAATATATATACAATAAGAATAAGAATGGATAAAATTCAATTAATCTACTTGTAAAGACGTAAATGGAAATAGAAATAAAATAAAATAAAATAAATTGAGAAAAAGTCAAAAGGATTCGATTTTTCCATACAACTTATTCTATTCAGCTATTTTCTATAGAATTTGCTTGGCTCAAATTTTTCCAGTTTTTTAGTTTGATTGTCTTGATAAAAAGAACAGAAAAATAGAATGCAAAAAACATAGAAAATTTGAGCCGAGGAAATTCTATCGAAAATATCTGAAGAGAATAACTTGTATAGAAAAAACAAATTCTATTGACTTTTTCTATTGGATATTTTCTACTGAACATTTCAACAGAATCGACCAAAACTAATAGAAAGTTCAATAGGTTTTTTCATTAAATTTTTTCGTGCGTGATAAATTGTAGTACAGGTTGTTTTACCTTATCAACATTCATCTTTTTGAATCCACCCTGGAGAATTTTGAAATTTTGAATGTACTCGTGCTCCAAATTGGTCCTGAATTTGACTCTCTTCAGTGGTACACTGTTGGAAAATAGCATGTCCATGAATTGGCAGTAAGCCGCACCAGTGCATAACTCTTCGATTTTCGAGAACGATGATTGCAGACAGTCGTTGACCCATGCGAGCATATCATGACGACTTAGATTGTCGGTTGTTACATTTGTAGCATAAACATTGACCGCCATTTTTCGTTGGAGATTTGTCCTTATTCACTTTAAAAAAAACATTCATTTCATGAAAAATAAATAACTGAATAACCCGAGAAACCAGTTGAATGAATATGTATAGACTTTAGTACATTCTGTTTTGGAAATGCTACGTAATGTCGAGGATATGGAATAAAAAAAAAACCTGGTTGCTAGGTTAACTCGAACGTGAGAGAAATTCACCGTTGGGTAGGGTAGAAAGTGACTAGGAGACGAAATAAAACTTGAGCAAAATTAAAGGACATGTACTGGTATCACATCACTTATTTTGGGTTCTGTTGAATTGGCTCAGCCCATTTGAGCTGTTAGTGGAAGTGATCACTGATTTCTGGTATCTTCTATCGAAATCGCCCTTACAAACTCAACTAATCCTCAGACAAGCCCCAAATCTCCAACAGCTTAGCAATTCAGTTGATAATATTCACTCACCAAATGGAGGTGAAAAAAATAGTTTGCAGTGCCGAAATTATGGGGTTGGTTCCTCTAACTTGCGAAGGTAGAATAAGGAGAATTGACGGGTGCTTCGGTGTTGAGTCACCCACACACACATGAAAACGTTGGAATGAAGAATAAGCTAACGGTTCCTACGGATTGGCGTATGTCCCAACTTAAGTCTGCCCTCCCCCCGAAATTTTCAAGCTCGTTGAACGCCACTCCGATTGTTTTGTTTCGCAAATATTAGCCTACGCACGTCGTATCCATTTTGCTAGTCGATAATTTGCTGCTCCAAATAGCGGAGTTGAAAGATCTCACTCCGATTGAATTTCAGTCAAAGCCGTTGGGATTGTTTAGCAAAGATTCTGGCCGAATCGATTGAAAAGGAGTGCACTAAGTTTGATCGATGCTACCAGAATATGATGCATATCCTACCTGTCAAAACGTCCGGTTAATAGTCTCAGTAGAATAACGATAAACACAATAATGTTAGAGAGCAAACGCTTAACTCCTTTTGCCTATTTGCCTTGGAATGGCATACCGCCTTAAGGCGACTTTTCATCAGAATTTGACCGTTTTCTTAGCGCCATTTTGAAATTTCATTGACCAATGGGAATAGAAGCTCGTCAATTTGAATTTTTATTTAGGATGAGTGGATTGAAATTTCGTAAACATTCCGTTTCCATGGAGAAATGGAAAATGACAATGGAATCTCGAAATTTTTTGAAAGTAAAAAAATTTTTGTCTCTACTCCAGTCGGTGATTTCTGGGGTTGAGGGGCTTAAAAGTAAGTCTCCCGATTTTTTTAGAATTTACCAATGGTTCTTATGAGAGAAATAATTTCTTCGGATTTTTCGGTTTTTTAAGCACCTATAATTAATCAGCGATAATCAACCGATTTCAATTCCTCAGTGATAAATCTTTTTGTCTTTAATCATCTTAAAATTCTTTTATTTTAATGTTTGGCCGGACGAAATCACAAACTTCATTAAAAATTATTGAACAACTGAAATTTTCTCCAATTCTTTTTCAAGATTTTCAATAATCAAAAAACGCAGTTCGTGCGTAATAGTTAAGCTTGCATTTATTAAATTTTCATTCTTTTTGTTTCAAGTTTCCCTATTTTCATTGGAAAAAAATATTATTTTGCACGCCTACACAAGTCGAAAAACAAAAAAATTTATATATTTCAATGAGACATTTTCGGTGATGTATCCAACCATTATCGATGAGCGAAACGGTAATATATAAAGGGCAATCAGTTTGAAGAACCAAAAAATGGTGAGGATCAAAGGATTCTGCCGTTCCCAAGACAATACCACCTAAAAGTTAATCTCTATGGATTTCTGGAAAAATTCTGAATGACTTAATCAATTTACTGCATTCTCATAAGTTATTGGGTTTTTCTATATGCTTATATGTTGTTAATGAAGACAACAATAACTGTTTGAATCAAATAAGAAATTAATTTTTAATTAATTGATTGAATCAAATGAGAATGATTTCATGAAATTTCCATTTTTCACAGTTAAATATCACAGAAACGATGTACTATAAAATTTCAGTAAAAATTCACAGTATTCGAAATTTATCAATCTACCACGGATTCGTTTTTCAAGCACATCGTAAGAATCGTTTTCTCAAAAAATTGACTCGCGAACTAGAAGCCGGAATTTCATTATTTATCATCTTCTAAACTGTGTAGTGTATCTTGTGAGATTTTTTTTCACTACCTAAAGAATGTTATAAACATTATTTATGAAAAACATGGGGACAATGGTAAAATAAACTGTTTGCAGGGATATACATTAAGATCTTCTCAATCATGTGTAGAAATTTTCTATACGGATTGTGTATGCAAATTCTATAGGATTTCCGTATATGATATTCGGATATTTCTATACGAATTATTTCTATACATAAGTTTTTCCATAAATTTTTGTTTTCATACGAAAGATATCTAAACGCTGCAGAGAAAAACGTAGAGAAATGTCGCAACCTCATACGAAATGTTTCTATACATGTGGCAGTGGGTCGTATAGGATCAAACCTATAGAAATCGTATAGAAATAATTTGTATGAAAAATATCCGTATAGAAATACCCGAATATCGTATATAAAATCCTATAGAAATTCTATACGCAATCCGTATAGAAAACTCTTATACGATTTTTTCATACGTGTGGTGGCTCGTCTTACGTTCTGGACCTTTCTCGGACTTATTAGAACCTTCCATGAATTTCCGGAGAAACCAACATCTCACCACATCATGCACGAGAATTCCTAATTAGACTAGATGAAAACTCTCTTGTTATAATTAACGAGTTTCTTCTCAAATGTTCCATAAAAATTTGAAGTGTATTGTTGATCGTTCTAAGCTACCACACTATCTATAAATAGTTCACATGGTCTCATGTTTATAACGAGAAATATGTATGCAAGTGAACACGCACGAAAAAGTTTAATAGAAAAACCTATCGAATTCGTTAGGAAATTCTATTGAATTTCTATTAAACTTTCTATTAGTTTTTGGCTGATCCTATTGACATGTTCAATAGAAAAAATTCAATAGAACAAGTTAACAGAATTCGATTTTTCTATATAACTTATTCTTTTCATATATTTTCTATAGAATTTACTCGACTCAAATTTTTTAAGTTTTTTGCATCCTATTTGTCGTTTCTTCTCATCAAAAAAATCAAACGAAAAAACTTGGAACATTTGAGCCGAGGAAATTCTATAGAAAATATCTCAATAGAATAAGTTATATAGAAAAATTGAAGTCTATGGACTTTTTCTACTGAATATTTTCTATTGAACATTTTAATAGAATCGTCCAAAAACTAATAGAACAGTTCAATAGAAATTCAATAGAATTTTCTAACGAATTCGATAGGTTTTTCTATGAAATTTTTTCGTCCGTGAAACTGTAATTGTTCAGAAATGCTTAAATAAAAAAAAAACGAACATCTCAAATTATGAGTCTGGTACGATTGAACCAAAAACTATTCGTCTATTGACTATTGCTCCAATAGTACAATTCATCCAATAATAAACTAATTCAAAAATATAATTCGTCCAATAATAAATGAGTCCAACAGCACAATTTGAACAAACAGCCGTCTTTAAAATAATTTTTTTTAAACACAAAATAAAACCATCATCAAAATTCTAATCATCATAAATCAAAAATTGATAAACGGTTAAAAATTACTGATTGATAATGGCTAGTATTAATAATTTGCTATTAAAAGATATGATCACAGGATGAGACAATTCATTATTCAAAACCATGATTGTTAAATTAAAAAAAAAAGTATAATTGATCCACATAGAATACTTGTCAACCATTTCATTTTTTTTGTACTTTTGATGACCCAATTTTTCTATAAAACCGACGCAATTGAAATAAAAGATTAATTATATCCTCATTTGTACATGTGATTTCTAAAATTTAAAATTCTTGCAGAAAATACGTGATTTCAGGAAACTTTTGGACGATTCAATTTTAAACCAATACTAACGTAAGACATAACATTGTGAAAAACCCGTAATTTACGTAATAAATGTAAAATGCAGGCGGCTGTATCTTTGATACAGTTGTAATTGTACGTGGATACGTCCATGGTCTTTCCTTCTTTCTCGAATTTTCTAGAAACTCCTTGCATTTCCTCAAATTTTCTGGAAATTCCTTGAATTCTCTCGAATTTTCTAGAAACTCCCTGAATTTCCTCGAAATTTCTAGAAACTCCTTAAATTTTTTCGAAATTTCAAGAAACTTCTCGAATTACCTCGAAATGTCTAGAATTTTCTAGAATTCCGATAGATGGCGCTCCACATAAGGACCGTTTCCTAAAATGACCCCCATATTGAAACCATAGACGTATCCACGTCAAAAAATGTAAAAAACCAGCCGACGTTACCTTTTATCGTAAACCGTGAAGCTTCGCGAGGATTATACCTTGCGAGGGTGATAAAAGTCACGAGGTTCATACCTCGCCAGGATCATACATCTCGAGGGTCACACCTCGTAAGGGTCATACCGTGTAAGAGATGAATTTTACAAGGGTCAATCTCATTATTTATTGCTCTCTATTGAATTCGTCGTGTCATCATCTTTTGTCTTGACATTAACTACCTTCATTCAGCATTCTTAAATGACAAACATAATTCCATTGTCTTTGGTAGCTTTTTTCAACTCTTCAGAACAAAATGGTTCTTTTCAGGGCCAACTGGACTTTTCCGGTGCTCGAAATAATGAAGTGGAGAATCCAATAACGGTCAATGGATAATCAGATTGACATTCTCACAATGGAGATGACTTGGACTTTGGTCTTTTGCAACTTTTGACCCTCGTCAAATTTACTCTTTACGAGGCAGCGGCTCATGTTTTTGAGTTTCTTAAAATGCCGTAAATCGTACCATGTGATGTAATAGTATATTATGTCACCACCCTGGTAAAACAGTTCGATTATTTCCGACTGGTTGATAAAAAATGAATCGGCGTTAATGATGTTTCTGTCTTTGTCCGTTAAATTCTGATTGGCTGGTAGGTAGGTAGAGTTTGGAGTTTGAGAAAATTATGAGAATTAATAGGATCAAAGGTATGTGGCCGTTATCGTCCGATTACTTTTCAAAAAAGTAGTTGACACATCTCATATTGCTCATTTAAATATTTATATGCGTAATATGAGATCTATCGACCACTTTTTTGGAAAGTAATCGGACGATAAGGGCCAAATACCCTTGTTCCCATTAAATCTCATAATTTTCTCAAACTCCAAACTGTACCTACCAGCCAATCGGAATTTAACGAGCAAAGACAGAAACATCATTAACGCCGATTCATTTCTTATCACCCAGTCGGAAATAATCGGTCTGTTTTACAAGGGCAGGCAATGAAAATATTTTCCAACGAATGTGGCTTTATAATCCGAGCCGAAGGTGAGCATTTCAATCACATGAGTCAGAAAATGGTTTTTCTGTACTGCTTCTCACGATTTCTCCTCTGGGAATTGGTATTACATACTTCCCAAACTCGAAAATTTGAAAATCACTACAGAAAAATATTATTCCTGGGCTGTGTTACGTCGTTGGCCGTTCATAACTAGGTGGCGTTGTATGCACCTAGCGGTCAATTTGAATATTACCTTAATCAGAATAATTAGATAATAATTTAATTTCCATTCTTTCATTAAATTCAATACTGCGTAGTTTGGGCACGTGTTCTTTTGGTGGACAATGACGTCTCATTTCAACTCTCAAATACAGAGCTCTATTCATCCGAGAAATAACATAAACAGTTTAAATAAACGAAAGAAATAAACCGAGTTAATATAAATATTGCAGGCCTGTTGATTTTCTGGCGTCGCCATAAACACATAAAATTCAGACGTAAACTTCTCGAGAAAG